TCTCTCTCTCTCTCTCTCTCTCTCTCTCTCTGTGTCCGGTACTAACCTGTGCAGCTGGCGCCTTGATGCAGGTACCTCGAAGATGGAGCTGGAGCTATGGCGCCACAGGTAAGTCTCACTGGCCTCCGCCAGCCATCTCTCTCCAACACTACTACTACTACTACTACTAGCGCCCTGCGCTGAAGACTACTCCTGCAGCTACTAGCGCCCATCGCTGAAGACTACTGCTAGCGCTAACGCTACTCCTGCAACGCTCCTCCAGAGTGCTGCTGCCGAATCCTGAAGACTGCCTCCTGCCTTCTACCTCCCCGTGAAGTGCATGGGAACTCCCTATGTACTACTCGGCCTGCCTCCTGACTGCCTGCAGCTGCAGGGCGGGGCAGTCCAGGAGGCTGCTCTTGCCAATGCCGAAGTGAGCCAGGGTCTGCCGCTGCAGCTCATGCTGAGGCTGGCGTGGGAACAGGCCAAAAATAGCCTGTTCCGAAACCCTGGTTTGGTGCCTGAGTGTTAGGGCAGGTCGATCTTATGAGGGCCCGAAAGTGGCCCTCCGTTTCAGGCTGAAAAGACTCAGGGCCTGAAAGGCCCTGTTTTAGACATAGGGCCTGCAAGCCCTCGTCTTTCAGGCTTTCAGGGTGAAACAACACGGGGGCCTGTAAGCCCTTGTTTCTAGGCTTTTAGGCTGAGACCGCGGGACGGGCCCTGCAGGCCCGTGTGGCTGCGCAGTATGCCACAGATAGGCACCAGGGCTGATAGGTTGCCCAGCCCTGGTGGAAGCGGAATCAGACGAGCCTTGTCGAACAAGAACTTCGGACGCCAGGCCCAAACAATCTACTACAGGCCCCAAGAGACTCTGGGCCCCAGGTTTCAGACAGGGTAGCACCCATTGAAGCAGTCTTATCGTCCTTCCCCTAGCTTACCCAAGGCCAGGCGGAACTCGGACTGGCCTGAGCGACTTATACCCCTACCTTTACCCCAGGGTCAAAGCCTTGTCGAACAGAAACTTCAGACGCCAGGCCCAAACAATCTACTACAGGCCCCAAGAGACTCTGGGCCCTAGGTTTCCGACAGGGTAGCACCCATTGAAGCAATCTTACCGTCCTTCCCCTAGCTTACCCAAGGCCAGGCGGAACTCAGACTGGCCTGAGCGACTTATACCCCTACCTTTACACCAGGGTCTAAGCCTTATATATGATCACTAGACAGTTCTATTCGAGTATCAGTAGGAAGTCCAGTGGCCCATACCTGTCCCTACTGCAGATACAAGACCCCACCAGTGACTAGACCCCACCAGTCTGATAGTTGTGTAGTTCATAATCTGTGTGTATCCGAAGACTGTATGCTTCGTGTATCTGTGTATCAAGATGTGCAGACAGCACCATATGTGGAAACTTGTGTACGTAGCCCGTAGGCCATGTATAATTCGCTTGTTGCCGAAGTTCCCGTACGGCAGGATGGCGCCCGCGAACGCAGCGCTGCTGGCTCAGCAGCTGACGCATGTGTGTGGGAGCGGGTGCGATGTGCGGGTCTTAGCGCACGTGCGCGCGTGTGAGTGCGCATGGGCGCGTGCAATGTCGCGCCTGATTGTGTGGCGTTGTGCGGGTTCATGCGTGCGATCGTGCATGCTCATGCCAAAAGACAAGTGTCATTGTGTCTCCCAGCGTGCGTGTAAGTGTCAGAACGTGCGATCTTTTGTGCGGGTTCATGCGTGCGATCGTGCATGCTCATTGAAGCAGTGCGCGATTAAAGCAGAACTCCCCTTCCCCGACTTTTGAAAGCACAATTGTGCCATCTCTCTGCTTCACGCTTCATATGAGTGATGCTGCAGGCTAGCATGCCGTATGAAGGGGAGTTCTGCTTTAATCGCGCACTGCTTCATGGGAAATCACTTCTAGACTT